AGCACACGATGGCTATCTGCCTAAGGGGAGGGATGCCTTCGTGGAGGACTATCTAAGGGAAACCGGCTCGTATACACGTTACACATGGGGTAAACCACGAAAACGCCCATGCAGCCAGCCCGTTCGCGGGATTCGAACCTCGGACCGAACTAGATAATTATTATGAAAAATCCGTTTATATATCTCATGAGTTACTGTGGTATCAACTAACAATCTTAGGGCATTTACAAAAGTAATCTAAGAAAATTACAGTTGTTCATATTATACGCTGAATAAAATAAAATGCCGTCCCGCAAAGTAAACAAATACATTTTTCTTGAATTTTTTGTTTCAAATTTAATAATATAACACCTTTGATTCATATTAATGGATTATTCTTCTTCTCTTTCACAGCTTTTACATTGTTTTAACTTTGGGTTCAAGATAAAGTGAGCAGCACTGCTCATTAACATCGTTTAGTAATGCTTGATAGGAAATAATGAATGCCAAAATGTTCTTAATACTGCAAAAGAATAGTAACTGATTGTCATAATCATGTTAAATGGATTTTATCCCAGTCCATTATATCTGAATTAGTTCGAAACGTTATTAAAGCGAAAATAATAAAAATGTCCTCCAGAATTTCTGTACTGAATTTAAGAAAACTGTATACTAAATATGCTTTTTTGCTCCAAATTAGACATTCTAAACTTTTGTTTTTGAACTTTTTAAGAAATAGTTACATTATAATCGTAATTTTAATTTATACCATAATAACAAAAAAAAAAAAAAAAAATGTCATTTTTTTAAAGTGTAAGGTAATCGGAGTTGCATGCATGTACATTTGTCAGTTATGCCTCGTTCAGTTTAAGCTTTGTCACTAAAAATATAGCGAAATCATTTATGTATTTATTACTGGCTAACGAATATTAGCCATTAAATGAAATTTGCTGTTTCAGACAAAAGTTGCTGCTTTTCAGACAACCCGTGATCTCGATAAATCAAGCACAAATATTCTTTTAGATATCAGCCATTACATTACCCTCTATACAATCTGCTTTCCTAACTGCGATGTCGAATTAAAATGCGGCAAGTATATGCCAATTAGAAGCGGTAACTCATACTTCCTATTAAACGCCATGTTTAACTAACTTACCATTACAATTTTTACATAGTTACTAAAATCGTTAGTAAGAAATAAATAAACAATGAATCTAATGATGACCGGAGCAATATTTCAGATATATAATTTATTGACATTCCAGGTGTGGTTTCTTGTATCAACGTCTAAATTTTTTGTATCGAGGTGAAAATTTGTATCAACGTCTGATGTGTGCTATCCAACTTAACGAATAACTGCTGTCTTGCATAACAGTGAAATCTCAAGGAAGACTTGATTACTAAGCTCAGATCTTGAGTAATTGTGAGTGATTGCCCTCGAACTTGTGGCCTCTATTAAATGCTAATTAGACATCGCACAAACAAATACACAAAACATTTGTTTACCATCAGGTCCAGATGACTTGTCCAGAGAGCTTTGTGTTATAATAATTCTAGATTAGCCTCACAAGTGGTGAAGGAGATTAAATTAGTACCTGCATCTGTTTGCCTGCAAAGCTATGTTCGTGGTGAAATTCACTCAAGATAGCACCTAGGTGGATTATGCTGGATATAATTAATACTTAATTGAGCCCCAGAGAGTTGTTACATATTTTTTAAACAAACGTTTCAATTTAAAAGGCCTTGATTAAGCAAAGCGCCATTTAGGAACAAACAGATACATATTTATCTATATAAATATTACATTTCAATATGTTAATCTTTTATTTGCAGTTAGAAATCGAAACGCATTAGTTGCAAATACTAACAAATTTTTGTACTGTAGAGTCATTAGGTATTTTTGAAGCATGAGAAGTGAAAAATATGCAGTACCCTCGACGGGACTCGAAACCTGGATCTCTCGAATGCGCGTCGAGTATGTTTTCAATTACGCCACGAAGGCATGCGAAAAGGAGGGAGAAAGTGTCAGCAGCAAAAATTCTCCGTATTCAGAGCTTCGGCATCAAGCCTGCGGCTATCGCTGATCAAACCAGCCAGAGTCTTTTGGTACACTGAATTCAAAAACAGCTTCTGGCAATGCCTATCTCACAAACACCCACTGGAAAAAGGAGTTCCCGCTCATGCAGGAATTCGAGGCAATGAAGCCGCTGACCTACTGGCCAAACAAGCAGCCATTTGCTAGGATTTACTAGGACGACCAACAAATCTTCCTTGGTCTCACATTGGTGCTACTTTGGTAGACGGTTGCACGGATTTTGGCGATTTTTTGGCGATTTTCCTTTGGCGAGTAATACAACTTATGGTAAACCCATTGCTGGATAAGTTATTTATGGTAACCGATACTTTGTTGTCATTTTATTTAAAAATAATGTTTTATTGTGCATAAATTCCGTGTTTAAAATATTATTTATGGCTTTTAATATTAAAAATCAATTTAATTTTGCATATTTATTTGAAATAAAAATTTTATTGTTTATCATATTTTATGAAATTTTATGTTATGGATGATGTAATCAATGACGTCACCCTTACTTTAAAAGTATTTCGTTTTAATATGTATAAATTTAATCTAATGTTTTAAACATTATTTATGGCTCTTAATATTAAATACAATTTAATTTTTGCATTTTTTTTAAAAAATGATTTTATGATGTATGAATTTTTAAATAATTTTAATTCTAGCCGTGATGTAATAAGCTCTCTGATTGGCTATAGAATATTTGTGCATTAACGATCTGTAATCAGCTCCCTGATTGGTTACTGACAATTTGTGCATTTTCGCACCGTTTTAAAATTTAATTTATATCTTCGAATTCCTTCAAAGATGTTATCTAAATTATGATTCTGATTTTTTTTGTGGTTCTTATCAATAAACAACAGGTTAAACACTCAAAAAAATGTAAGTACATATTTTTCTTTTATTTTAGAATTGTATACTTCAATTTTTGTTAAAAAATTAATATACTATTTTCAGAAATTGCTGAGATAATTATTGTCCATATGTTTTAATGTTAATTATATTCTGTATAACGTATTTTAAAGTATTTGAATTTAATAATATACTAATTCTTTTAAATGTTGGTATTATGGGTTTTAATTCGATATTCAATTTCAGTAATATTTTAATCTAATTAAACGTTGGCCCAATGCTTTTATTGCGGTGTTTTTATTCTCTTCTTTGCTATATGAAAGTAATAATAACCTTACTTTAGTATTTTATACTCATAGTAAATGTATTTATTACACTTGCCTGCCATCTTAAAAAAACGACATTTCAACAAAAAATTATCCATTACTTTTAACGATATTTATTTATTTATTTTTTAAGTTTCGAATATTTTACTATGCGTAAAAACAGCGTTTTTCAAGATGGCTGACGTTTGTAAAAATCGCGCCAACAATTGCGCCAACGTAAATCGCCAAAAATCCGTGCAACCGTCTACCAAAGTAGCACCCTCACAGTATACGAACAACTTTTGCAAGTTTGCAAAACTGGCAAAGTAGATAGACAGAGACAGCAGTAGGACGAAGAACATATCGCTTACTGCCAAAGATTAACATAGAAATGAAGACCCACCGTACTAGCCTAACACAATTCTTGATAGGTCGTTGACCATTTCCAGCATACCTCAACAGATTCCAACTGAGTGATACTCTTTTCTGCAAATGCGGGGAGGAAGACGACACAGAGCTCTTAAAGAAACCAGAAGACTGACTTTGCCTGGGCAATGTGGACATCTAACACACTCAAAAACAATGTAGACCTTGGTGAAACAGAGAAAATCTCAAGACACTGCTTAAGCAGAAACAACCGTGAATAATATTATGTTTGAAATGTTTAGAATTTAAAGCAGATAATTAGAGTAATGCTTGTTTCCTGCACTTATCAAGCCATAGAAACTGTTATTAGTATGTAATATTCAACTTTGTTACTTTCGAGTTTTGCCCACTGTGATGGTATATAATTCCATTTGGTTCATGTCCGTGGTCGGAAACCATCATAGCGGTGCACTCACTCACTCACTTTATATACTCCCTCTTTTAAACTGCGACTGGGGATGAGGGAACCCATCGCCAAATTCTGTTGGCTTTAGTTCGGGCGCCGGAGAATCATCAGGTTTTCTTCAAGCAGGAGATGTGGAAAATGTCGATGCCCTCGCCGGGACTCGTACTCTGGATCTTTTGAATAATACGCATCGAATATGCTTTGAACTGCATCATGAAGGCATGCGGTAAATAGGGATAAAATACCTTATAGCACAATAGATTTATCATTTAGATAATTTTTATTTTCCTAAGAATCATTTTGCATTTAATTCAGTACCATCACTAGAAACAAGATCTTTCTTAATATATTGTGTAGATTGATCTTCTGTTCGTCTGAAATCAGAGCAAGCCCGGGAAATTCATCGTAACAAGGAGGCAAGATAGCGTTTATTGTTGGTAAGAGCCTTGGGCACAGAACTCAGTTCTTCCTAGTTTTGAACGAGAGCACTCCAAAGGGACGGATCCGAGGGTTCCCTACTCCTCCTTTCGTATCACAGTCTCTCGAGAGGACTTTCGTCTCGCAGCATATTTTGAGTTACCCATGCCGCACAGACACTATACATTTACAAACATCTATGCCTTCTTGGGGTTTTGAACCCGGGTACCGGTTACCTGCGGTACGGTAGTCAGACTGATTAACCACTTTCCCAGTTGTAAACTAAAGCAGTTAATAAATTTCATTCAGATTTTCTAATAATCTACGATAAACGTTTATAAAATATTAAATATATCTCTTAATTATTGGATTGCGACTAAAGGGAGTATTTGAAGCTAAACGTAATTAGTTTTTTCTGTTGTACATTTTTCTCAATCTGGTAAACCAAACTGTTAACTCTTAACATCTGCGGTTATGATAGATGTTATAATCACAAATCTATATGCTTGTAAATGTGAAATATTTTTTTTTCTTTCAGGTAAAACAGAAGATAAAAGGTCTGACGAAAAGTAAGTAAATAGATAATAATTACATATTTCTACTGCTAATTTTACCTGCAGTTAAATATGATCATTTTTATATATTTAAGTAAATTTTTTTTAAACGTGAATTCGTTTAATATTAAATATCTATGTAAAATATGGTATCCATAAAATATTATTTTCATGATTGTGTGATATTTTGCTTCATTTATTTGTTTGTTTAATAAAACTTAATTTCAAAAGCATTTCGAGAAATGATGTAAAAAATGCATTTAAATTTTTATTAAAAATACAAAAATTTTACATTAAAAAATGCTGCATTTAAAAGCAGCATTTTAAAATGTTTTGAGTAATTCGGGTAAAGAAAAATTATTGTTTTTTCATAATTAAAACCGATACAAGTTTACTGTCTGCTGAGTTACTACCGAGGAAATCATCGTCATCTAAATTTTTTATCTGCATCCAATAGATGTCATAAAACATTATTTATTTAAACATTATTCTGTGCACAAAACGTACTTAAGAATTTTTACCAGAAATGGCATTTATATAGATTGTAAACAACATTAATTCAGGAAACTGTCTAGGAATTTCTATAAGTTAGAATAAAATAATTTTTGCCATTTTCAACAATTATTGTAATAAGGTAAAAAGGTATCAGACTAATATCAGATTAATTATTTTTTATTTATATCGAGCGTATTTCATTTAGAGTATTTAAGGCATTTCTTCAAGTTACATTTGCATTTTTATAGTTATAAATGTTTGCATTAAAAGTAATGAAATATTTCTCCTTTCCACTATATTTATTAAACTACATTTGTTAATGCTAAATACGTAAGTGTATGAAACTAATTTGAAAAAGATTTTCTTCTACTTTATTTAGAGAAATCGCCTTATATAAATAAATATGTATATTTCAGAGCAAATATGTATCTTGAATTAAATCTCAAGAGTTACTTTAAATACCCTGTTATATGATGATTATTTCTTCAGAAATTGTATTATTTTCTGAAACATCAAAACCTAATCATATTCTGAGGGCCGCGTTGTACAGACGAATATTTTAACACAACTGAGAACAAAATATTAAGAAGGGAAAGTCACTCATGTCAAACGTTAAATAACAAAATGAACTAAGTGGATAAAAAGAAAAGTAATAATTTGAATTCTTTGAAACATTTACAAATAATGGGATATAATGAAATATACTAGAGCTAAAACCGATGAAAATATCCAGTAAATAAGTAAATAACAATAATAAGCAAACGTTTTGGCAGCAAAGATTTTTTTGGTAGTCCATATGTTTGCACGTCGTTTTCTGACCTTTTTCGATACACAGGGTATTCAGTTGCTGCCCTGGCCTGTACGGTCTCCTGATCTGTCACCCATTGGAAACATCTGGTCATGGGTTGCTGAAAGATTGGCCCGCCACCCCTCTTCAGCTAATGCTGTCAATGAAGTGTGGTATAGTCTCGAAGCAGCATGGAATGAATAGCCCGTTTCTTTTATCCAAGCCCAGTTCGAATCCATGCCTAACCGGGTAAGGGCCGTTTTAGCTGCCAGAGCTGGCAGATGTTTCTACTAATTTCGCGTCTCTGTAAACCCCCATTCTTCTAACAAATTTGATCATTTTGTCTTCATGCCACACTGTATAAGCACAATAAATATATTTTTTCGTATTTGCTTTCCTTCATGGTGTTGCAATTTTAATGGCCATCAGTGTATTAACTGAATATAATTTGATTAAAATTTTCTTCAATATATTTCGATTCTGACTTCACAAAAGTAGTTCTATGATAGGCAAAGCCTTACTGAATACACTTATGTATACTATTTACAAAATCCAGAAATAAGTCAATAATGGGGATTATTTTATAGAATTTTTTAACAAGGCGCTACACTACGAGACTCTCCCGCCCTTCCGATATATCTATTCACCTCAACTGGCTGCCTTTAAAATCATGTTTCCTTTTAAACTCAAATTTAAGAATCTTGACTTTTTGTATAGTTATTCATTATCATCAAAAGATTTGTTGATTTATTGCATTTTTAGCATTCTTTGGTTTAAATAATATTTTACACATAGTGTTTAAATTCAATTCCAATATAATTTCATTTTGAATGTAAACAATTGGTTTTACATAAACATGGAGTAACTTTTATCTTTTCATTAACCTTCTAGTGACGACACGGAAGCTCTAAACATCAGAAAGAAAACATACATTGATTTTTTAAACGTAAGCTAAGAAATAGGCCAACATTTATTGAACGGATTTTCTTTTATCTTATTTATTTTGATCCGTAATTTTGATGTTTTTACATTTTATTACTTCGCAATGGCTTCGAAATTTAATGAAATTTCTTTCAAGATATTTTTGTATAATATTAGAGAGGTGGAGGACATATCTCACATGTTAATCTTTAATATGTAGTTTCTATTCTATGCTAAGTATTGTTAAATGCAGAACGTAAGCTTTCGAGCACAGTAATTAAGAGTAAGGTAGGTTCCGTAAATTACTATATTGTGTAATATGTGGATATACTAACTGTACAGATTTTGGTTTGCTACACATGAAAGGATGAATCAGAAAACAGAAGTAGTGAAAATTCACATGCGTTATTTTTTAATTCTTTAATTCTTATTTACTTACTAGTTATTGATTTCATAGAGTTCTAAAATAATTACAGGTTTTTCATACATGATTATATTTCAATTGTTGTGCTCTTTTTGTAACCACATCTTTGGACATCAGATTATTCGTATAACTTTTCCTCTCGATTTTCGTACGATAAAATTAGTAAAAATATGTGACGATACGCAAGTAAACAGTATATACATGTACAGTATGCCATGTGTCATTTGATGAAAAATCAAAACCAATCATATTCTGAGGGTGTCGTTATACATGCGAATAATTTAATATGCCTGAGAATAAAAAGTTAAGATGAGAAAGGCCACTCATTTCAAATGCTAAACGACAAACTGAACGAAGCGGCTGAAAAGAAAAGTAATTATTCGGATTCCTTACAACATTTAATAAAATGCTTCAAAATTAGGAGAATTTGAATATTTTGGCGATTGTCTTGAAAGATAGAAACAATGCTTTCAAAGAAAAACACAAATCGTTACTGTTAAATACGCAAGCATACACGTAATTATGGAAGACGGAATTTAGGGGTCATTTTAAAAGTGCAAGTGACAGTTTCTGATCTTCTTTCGCTTGCATTCTTCACCAAAGGGCGTATTTTCTTCTCTCCCCCTTTTCCCCCGGTGCAATATTTGGTGAATTCAACAATAGGCAGTTAAACTGAATAACCATTATTGTTTGAATGATGGAATTATGTGAAGAATTGGCAGGTGAAGAATGAAGCATGGGAGTTTTAAGTCTAGTTAGGAACTTAAATGTAGTGTCTAGCATTCTGTATAAAACTTAGTATTCTGTGTAACAAGTTTAAGAGTACCGGATTCAGAGATAGATAGCCTAGGCAAGGCAATCCAAAAATATGTGGTAGCGAATGAACTTCGACATCTTCCACTTCAGCAGTCAGTAATAGGTGTGAAACAGATTTTCAAATCTGTCTATACCTCCATGTGGCTACTGGAATTCAAATTTCAAGGGTTACTGTTTCACGAATGATTCAGTTAATTGATAAAGCTATGTTTGAGACCTGCTGCTTAGGTCTTGTTCGAGCAAGAGAGACTATTTTACGTGGTTCAGAAAGCATAGATTTAAAACCAAACATCAGAGGGGATCATCCTGTTCACTGATAAGGTCCGATTCAGCCTTATGGGATTATTTCGTATAGCAGTGCTGTAAGAAACGTTTTCGAGAAATGCATTTCTCATTCAGCCTTATGGAATTATTTCGTATATCAAGTTGTAAGAAGCGTTTTCAAGAAACGCATTGAGCGCAAAAGTTTCAAGAAACTAAACCATTGCGTTCAGCGATATGCTGTACGTACGTACTCAGAGCATTTTATGAGACACTGTGGAAAATGTATAGCTTGAAGGTCTGTTTGTCATAGGAGGTACACTTCTGGTAGGTCTTCTAGTAGATCAATCAAACAGATTTGTTGGAAGCTAAGATCACTAGAAATGATTCTTTCGACGCTTAGTTAAGTGGAGCTAACAAGTCTGATAGGTGTCTTGTCCGTGATTCTCCACGAGCCTTCATTGGAAAAGAACCAAATGACCCCTACCTGTCCTCCAATATACCAGAAAATTAGCAATACGGCAGCACGATTTTGGTGGTCTGGGCAGGCATGATCTTGGGAGGGCACATGGACCTTTATATTTTTTATAAAAGGCTACCCTTCTATTAAGAAGTATAGGGCTATGTAAAACCCCACTCTTTTTTTAAGGAAAAAGGTTCTTGAATTTCAGTTCACTTTTATGAACGTCAACATTCAACCGCATAGTAAAAATATTAAATGAATGTATTGTCTAACCAGATCTTCATGTGCAATATGTCTGGGAAGGTCTTGGAAAGGTAATTTTAACTCACTTGTTTCCCTCAGTTTCCTGTTCAGTTGAACCCTTCAGGACGTAAAAATACCGTTACTGTGCAGAATTCGACCAGGCTACAGCACAGAATCTTGAAGTGCTTTATTTCCAGTCACTCTGTGGAAACTTCATTACTTGAGGGAATAATTAACTTTTCTTAGCTTCCTATTTTTTCCCATCTTGCAAAATCATTTTAGCCTAAAGGTGTGTTAGCACAGAAGAGCTAGTAGTTTCGGAGCGGCATTTTGCATGAATTTTTGAATTTTTGAATCACTAAAAGCATTGTATAACTTTTCAGATTGTTGCCACCATATATTATCGCCCTGCATATATTTAGAGAAATTAAATAATGAAGAATTTGCCTGAATGTATGTATGTTTCTCTCATGGAGAAAAATCAACGATACCTAGAGCCATCAAATTTTGAATAACGTAGTCCTCCACCCGGATATGAGCACCTGGAAGCCTAAATTGGGAATTTGTTTTATTGTCTAGTTCATATTTTGTAAAGCTTTAAATAA